AAGACTCTCTGCTTGCCAGTGAGTTGTAGTTTGGGGGGGTTGTGCACTAAAATTTTCTGATAGAGGAAGACTGATTTAAAGGATGGTCCATGCTAAGGACTTGTTAGACCTGTAGTTCTCCATTTAATAATTATACGCTATTTCTATTCTTTCATTCTTACAGCCCTTTATCACCTGTCTCGCCTTTTTGTTATTTTATTATGGAACATGTGTAAATACAATTTTGTTTCTCTATGTACTTTTTTGGCATAACAAATCTGTGAACTTGAAATTTTAATTTTGTGTGTTATGGCAATTTTTGTTTAGTATTGTCTCAGATTTTATTATGTAAATTCCATTATTCAAAGTTGCCTAAATCCATTTAGAAAAATCTTTAAAATTGGGAATTCTTAAAGTGAGTTTATTGGCTTTTCTGATCCATTTTTGTTTGGACCAAAAACCAGTATTGTACAAAGTATTAAGTATATATTTTTATATTTACTGAAATGGACTGTGGTGACTTTGGATAATAAGGAAAAGTTTAATATTAAAGCCATGTTTATTACAGTATAATTAACATGTTAAACCATGGGATAAATGCCATCAATAAAAATTATGAAATATTGGTTGTGGTAGTTTTAACTAACCTAAAGGCACACAGTAGAACCAATGTATGCAAGCTGCACACTTGCATGTTATCTGGAGGACATACCTCTTCTGCAGCATTTCTGCTTTTAACAGAAATGTTGAGTTAGTAAAAATAATTGTATGCCCTGGTACTTAATGATTTCCCCATAACCATGAGAATCGTACCTAAACTTATCAGTCCAGAGGGGCTGTTAGCTGCTTGCCTACATACTTGTATTTGATTTAATTATCAAGTGCTGCTTGGAGCTATAAACCAACAAAAAAAAGTTTAGGTGTTCAGAGCTATAACATACACGATTGTAGCTACGTGGCAGAATTCTTGCCAGTGATCTGTAGAGAACTGATGTGGGCAGTGGAGTTCCCCAGGCATCAGTCCTTGGGCCTGTGCTATTCAACATCTTTATCAGCGACTTGGAGGTGGGTATGCAAAGCGTGCTGTCTAAGTTTGCTGATGACACAAATATGTGAGGTGAGGTGGGCACACTGGAGGGGAGGGATGGAATCCCAACTAAACCTAGACAGGTTACAGAGGTGGGTAGATGAGCATAGGATGGAATTCAAGGCAGACAAGTGCAAGGTGCTGCAACATCCCTACAGGCTGGGGAACACCCTTTTCAACAAGGCAGCGAATGAAGGGAATCTTGGAGTCATTGTTGACTTTAAGATGGACATTAGCTGCCAACGTGAGGAAGCTGTCCATAAGGCTAACTGCACCTTGTTGTTGCATCATAAGATGCATCACAAGCAGGTCCAGGGAGGTGATCTTTCCCCTCCAACTGCAGCCTGACCGGTGCCACATGAAGTGCAGTACTCTAAGTGGGTTGTGGCTAACCTTGAGAGGGTCAGCAGGCCAGGCCCTACAAGGATAAAGGGCCTGAATCTATTCAGCCTCCACAAGAGAAGACTGAGGGGACCCAGTGGCCATCTATAAACACACCAGGGGTGACCAGTGGAAAATTGAGGCTCTGTTCCCCTAGGCAGCACCTGGGATAACAAGGAATAACAGCCACCAATTGATTGAGAGCAGGTTCAGGCTTGATATCAGGAGGCATTACTTTAGGGTTAGGGCTGCCAGGCTCTGGAAAAGGCTCCTAAGGGCGGTGGTGTTCTCCCCTACCTTGGGGGTCTTCAAGAGGAGGTTGGACAGCTATCTGGCTGGAGTATTATGATCCCAGCACTTGTTCCTGCCCAGGGGGTCAGACTTGATGATCTGTTCAGGTCCCTTCTGACCCTAGAAACTATGATCACCAGCATAGATTCATCCTGATTCTCAATATTAAGTGATTTAACACAAAACAGTACGCATGTTCTTCTACCTAAGCATTTGCAAGCAAGATTCTATATGGCAACAAATCAGGTTTTTAAGAGAATTGCTAATCTCTGATTTTTTTCAGAGGCTCATACCCTCCCTGAGGGGCTAGTACTTCCTACTAACTGACCCTGCATGAGAAATTAACGTTCAGTAGCAGAATCCTCTGGCAACAACAGATACTTCACTTTGTTTCCTTCCATAACATACCATCTGTACTGCCAAATCAGTTGATGGGCTGGAAGAAGTCTGGTGAGGTATAAACACAGGACGTGCAGTATGAAAAAAGCAGGGGAAATGGATTATCAGATAAACCCACTTTGGAAGAGGTTGCATTACATCATTTGAGATTTGGTTTTTAATTCCTTAATGAAGGTATATTTAAATACAAGAACAAGAAGCAGCAGAAGTGCACTAAGCTCTAAAGCAATTGACAGCATCTGTCAAATATGTAACACACATTCAGAGCTTGAGTACCAGACTGGCATGTTTTTCTTTACTCTTATTCTTGACTTTTGCATCTGCATGAATTAATGCTGTGCATTAAAATAAGTGACATTTCTTTTCATGCAGAAGAAACTGGGCCACTCAAATCATCTTTGGGGAAAAAGTTTCATACAGACAATCTTTAGAATAAGTGGTTGATGCGGGTGGTTCTTTGAACATGGCAAGTAATATAACGTGCTCTGATGAATAAAAAATTAAAAGAAAAAAAAGCTATTCTGTAGAGTTTATGGAATATTTAGCCCTGCAGTTTGCTTTAGTACTCTTTTTTTTTAAGCCACCTAGAAACACCTCCTCATCACCACTGACTCAACTCTGGCTCTTTGGGCAACCAAAAAATTAAGACCCACTGATTTTATTTATTTTATTATTACCCAATTATTTTACTTCAACTGTAACTTCTTTGGAAGAGGTTCACTTTCCTGTGACAAAGCCCTTGCAGGTGTCACTGTGATGGTTCTAGTTAAGTTATGCTTAACCTCTGAATTGATATAGTTCAGAATTATTTTGACATGCGGTAAGCCCCCTATTAGAACTGAAAAGGAGTTTAAAGACAACACAGGCAACTAGATGCACAACAAAACTTGTGTCAATAAAGGGAGGTAGATACCCTCTTAACTGGAGGAAAACAACAACCTCTAAATCCTCTAACAAACAGTAGTGCCTTAGTTTTTGTCTTGTCACAGCTTCTTCCAGTTGTACTAAGGAACAGAGAATACATTTGACAGAATTCCACAGCATTTATAAAAACAACCACTTCCTGGAAGCTCATACTTGAATAGTGACTAGCAAAAAGGGTAGCTTTTATTTATGTCTATGAAGACTAGGCAGTACTTTACAGTTATTTATATAGACAAAGTTGACAAGCAGCAACAATTTCACACTTTAAAAACCCACTCAGACAAATAAATAAAACTTCCACTTCTGCTTCAGAGAAAGATTTGTTTGCAACTGGTAACCAAAAGAGATTAGATACAACTGTACATAGAATGTCGAAGTACATCAGTTCCAAGAAGCATGTTGGTACTTACCCTAATGAAGGTGATTCCAAATAAAATGCTGTGCTATTATGCAAGAAAGTGTGACAGTGAATTAATCAAAAGCTAAAAAGATTAAGTTTAGCTTCTATGTTTTAAAAGAGGCATCTTAATCCTCATACTTTCCAACATAATAGTGGACAGCAAGAGTAACTGCTATAACCTCAGAATAGTATTTACTCCTAATCAGACATGTTAACCTAGAGAATGCTGACATTGTGTCTGTAAGCTGTTTCCCAGCCACTGTTACACACTGGAAGAATAAACAGACATTATCAAATCTGTGTAGCAGTCTAATGCAAAATAACTACCTTTCTTTATTCAGAGGTTGTCTAGAAGTTATTTTGAATATAGCACTGAATAGTTAGGTAGAATTTTAGAATATAAAAGTAAATACTCAATCTTTTAACTTCTGTGAAGTTAAAACCATAACACAATCTGGTTAATATTTTCTGCATGCTGAATACTAACTCCTTCAATTGCTTTATATGGTCTTATATGCAAAAACTTGACAGACTTCCCCCCCCACATCAAAAGGAAGAAACAAGTCAGCTTGTTACCATGATCTGTACTGTTCCTGTTACAACTCTGAAGTTATTTACATAAATCTAATTCACTAAATACCACAGTGTAACTTGCCCTTTCCACAGAATTCACCTCTTCATTAGGTCTGACACAAAGTAAATGACTTAATGCTTAAGACTTAATCATGCAAAACCTTGCCACAATACACGTTTAGGTAAAACATTTTAAAAGTGGTAACAGAATACAGGTCCTGGAGTAAAGTAATTTATTGCAACACTTTCAGGGAAATGATTAATACCTGGCTCCCCCACACACACTTCAGAAATTCAAGGGAACCTGATTTACTGTACTTCTGCCACCTCCTTGCACAGAAATACTGCGATCCCCTCAAGGGGATATTTTCTGTTATGTGGCTTATGCAGGTGTTACCACCAAACAGGTGCATTCTCCAACTTAGTTCTCTAACTTTTTATGGCAGAAAAACTACCATTTCTTTTGAAATGGCAAAATTTTAGGCAACCACTTTATGTTCTGACAGAAACAGTCTTTGTCTTTCCTGCCAAACTAATGTTAATACTTCTACATTTAAAACAATACTTCCAGATTTTAACTTCTTTGGCATTCAAGGAAAAGAAAAAACACTCTCAAAGTAGTTGCTGGCACCACATTGAAGTGATGCATTTTGTTTGACACTCTATCCCCAGATACTTGGGCAATGTCATTTATTTTAGGGGTATTTTTTAAAGGAGTTCAAAGTGTGTGGAAATCTGTTTTTTTCTTGGTATCATCTGACTCCATTCCTTTTTACCACAATAGTTCCTGCCACAATATCGTAGGCTGTTCTGTTATGCTGAAAAAATAGTAGAGTAATAAAAGCTGGAAAAAATGAAGCAATAGAAAAGTTCTTGATCAATGCTCTTATTGTAGACCTGGAATGATAAGAAAAAAAGCTTATTTTAAGTTTACTAGTATGTACAGAAAAGCAGTTTTGCCAGACAAATTATATTCAACGGGATTTGGAAATCAAGTACTGTATCATTTAAAGCTCGAGCAAACCCTTTAACTGATTCCTGGATCACAGAATTACAATGGACAATAGGATTTTGCCCAACAGAACCAATACTAGGTCATTTGGAAAAATGATAAGTCTTTCACTCAAATTACAAGATTTCAGCAATAATTTGCTAGTGACAAAAGTTAAGACTACTTACGTTGTTATGCTGACATTAGAGGATGGAATCACTAACACACGACTTGGTGCAATAAGTACAGATGTATCACATGTCACAACTCGCAGTCCAAGCAGAAATTTGCCTGGGGTTGCCCCACCTGCTCCCCAAATACAGATAATCTACAAGAGAAGTCACTTGTTTTAATTCTGCAGTCAAATACTGTTGGTTCTCCAGCAAGCATATGTTCTTCAGAAACAAAAGCAATCAGAATGGCACAGAAGCACTATGTTTTAAGCAATCTTAATACAGAAAAAAGGACTTTGCTTTACATGTAGTAAGTTTATGCAGTAATTTTACTTTATCAGTCAAAGCCTCCAACTGCTGGTAGCATTAGAGCACATACTTAATAAGATCAGGTAACTCAATAATTTGATGCATCTGGTAGTTGCACATCTCTGACAAACATCCAGTTGACAATTAGAGTTAATGCTAATACTATTTACCTCATAGAAGCAGACTAACATCCTGTAGATAAGAGCCACTATCATCATTTTTTGCAAGTCTTCCATGGATGTATCTTCATCTATTTCTTCTATTATATAATGCATAGCAAACTTGGAGATGTCCCTGTATAAAACAAGACTCCTTTAATAAGAAAGCTACTCCACTCTTATCATATTATTGCTAAGTTTGTAAATTCCGTATGCATAACTGGAATGCTCTCTCATCACTTGGTACTTTCAGGGCTTCATTTTCTGGATCCTCAACAAAAAAACAGAGTCAATCAACCGTTATTAAGCAGACTTGCGGATTTGCTACACGGTGTAATATTATATCCTCCCTAGCTCATCTCCTCTATTTGAGGCCTTCTGCAAAACTGCCTTAACATCTCTGGTGGGAGACGCACATAGGATTTGTGCAAGAGGAAACATCCCTGCGTAACTTGATAGGAGCCCACCCCTCCCCCTATCACCACCATCACCTCACCTTTTCTGGTACCAGAGAGAACACATACTTCAGGCTGGATTCTTCCTGTGTTCTAGCTTTCCTTGGAATTAGGTGCTCTCAAAGCAGCACAGCTGGTTTAGCATATGTAACTTCACTTTGTCCCAGAAACCACTGACCCTTTGCCAGGACCATGTGAAACTCCTGACCAGTCAAACTGGAGGCACTACACAGGTCAGGCAAGCATGTCTGTCTTTCCACTAAAAGGGGGATGCTTGGATGTTCCAGGCTCATCTGTTTCTCAGTGCCTAAAGCTTGATTCTCAAACAGCACAGAGACTAGTCTCAGGTCTAAGGTCCTCTGAGATGAAATCCAAAACATTTATTACCATTCCAGGCTCAGTATTATTTATCCAAGACTGCAATTTCATTAACATTAAACTGGGAGCAAATCGCTTACCCAATAACACCAGTGGCACCTCAGTCAAAAACAGCTTGGAAGACCAAGCCAGTCTTGCCTATTAAGACCTCAGTAGCTTTGGCAACAATGCAAAAACAACTCTGGCTGGCATCTAGTCATTTGGCACTAACCTCTGGTGCCAACACCTCTGCAGTGGCTGCGAGTCTTAGCAGATGCTCATCAGGATACAAAAACAAGTGCACCTTCCTACAAGAGAAGCACAAGCAGAAGAAAGACTATCCTTTTCCTTTACATTCTGCCCCACCTGGACTTCAGACTGTTTGGCACTTAACTGCCATGCTCCTTTGGAGCCCAGTATCTTTACACTCAAAAGGGAGGTTTTTGAACCTCTCTGCATCCAAATAGTAAACATTAAGTGTACTGCACAAAGTGTTCAGATTTATTAGAACCAAAATTTTCTACACAGCCAGCCTCCCATTTCTGGGCACTCAGAGCAGAACTGTGAGCAGCAATATGAGCCTAACTGCTCTGAGTATCTTCATCTCCCACAATTTACCCAGGAAACCATTTTAGCTAATGTCTTTGTCAGCAAGTAAGGATTCAGCCTCCCAAGCAGAGATGCTACTTTTCTGTATAAAGGGCAACCTTGGACTATTTCCATCATAAGGGTGACATCTTCTGACAGTCCAAAAAAAGAAAAGGTCCATCTAAAATGTTATTGAAAAAAGGAACTGTCATTTCCCAGCACCCTGCACAGTAAGGTGGAGTCCCTGCAGTTCTGCATCTTAAATTGCAGGGCTTAGCTTAAGCTTCCTTCAGAGTCTATGTTCATCAGTATTTGCTCAGTTAGATTAAGGACCAGCCCATCCTCTCTCATCCTACAGCAAGACATGTTAAATATACCATGGTAAGTACAGCACCCCCAAAACAATTTGCAAATCCCTACTTACAAGCTTCTGGTGCAAGCCTTAAAATCTGTTAACAAAAACAGCTTTTTCTACATGGCAATTATACCTGTTGGGAGAGTGAACGTGTATTGCTCTCCAGATGCCAATACCATGGTCTGCAAAGGCAAAGTCATCATAATGCCCCATCTTGGCAAATGTGTGAGGTGCTCTCAGACAGCAGTGTACCTATGGCAGGGCAACGAGGGCAACTACCACTGCCCCTGTGCCCCAGGCTCCTGGCTGTGTGGCTATAATCTTGCTCTCAGATTTCTACCTGTGGAATATTTCCTTCCACATGGCCCACCCAAAGCAAACTCATCTCCATAACCTACACATAAGAAATATTTTTACATAGGAAGACCAAACCTTTTTGAAAATCCAGTAGGTCAACTGAAGCACACATGAAGAGAGGCTAGGGACAACGCATCATTAACCATTTCTCTTGGTGAATAAGGTGTAGCAGTACTTCACACATTGTAGGAAACCAGCTCTTCTTGATTCAAATATCCATTCCCTAAGAGGCATTACAGCACAGTAACATTCATTTCTTAAGCTGGCTCTCCCGGCTATGAAGCACAACTTTGGAGTTTAGAGCCTGCTTTCACTAGGCACCTGTGCTGGGCTACAACATATGGACAATGCCCAAGCACAGAAGCAGTGTAGCAATCCATATTTATCTAACCATCTTTTACACACCCTCATCCTGAGGTAGTACTGGTTTACTAATCCACCCCACGCAGGATTACACAGAGACCTTCCAGAGAGAAGTTACATAACATTTACTTGTTCAAGGGCTGCGTTTGGGCATTCACCATGACTTGCCCACATACCCCTGTATTTCACATCAGGGCTCTGCAATTAGAGCTGAGGCACTACTGGTGGTAGTGACAGATGGGGCATATGCTCCCTTAAAAAACAAAACACCTACGACATGAATTTTCAGGAAAGTTCCTCGACTTAGCATTTGATTTGAAAACAGGAAACTCTTTTTGAAGATTCTTATGCATGGTAAGCAACTTCCCTCCTCTCAAAAAAGGCGTAAGATCATTCAAAAATCATTAAAAAATAATGATTCCCTTAGATTATCCATAACACATACTCTCCTTCCCCCTCTCCCTCAAGAGGCCAACTCTACAGGGATGAATGGGGAAAAGAATACCACAGGCCAATCTAGCACTTTACATGCTAAATAACTGATACAAATTTTCATAAGTATGGCTAGAAGTTTTGGCAGCTGGTAGACAGATGATAGAACTCTGGACTAGGAACTTTAGTTGGACATTTCTGCTGAAGTGCTCAGTAATAAAATGTCAATGGAAACATCAACATTCACCATAGATTTTTGGACTATTCCAACATGAGAACTACCAACACATCTTTTCTTAGGCTGTTTTGGCAAAAATGTGAACTCGAGACAGCCTCTAAAGCACAATCCTGTAGCTGGTGCATTGGCCTCCGCTGAAAAAATCTCAGACCACTCCAGTATGACACCACGGTGGCAGAGAACTGAGACAGGCCTTAGTTCGTCCTGCTATCTCCTACCCCAGGGCTGCAACAGCATAGCTGCCTTGGCATGCATGCGGTAACACACTAATAAGCCGAGATGGTGCCTACTGTCATGCCTACAGAAGCTGAGCCTGGTGTTTGTTCCATGGTGCTACACCAGGGCAATGTAGACCTCAAGTCACAGACAGAAGTAGAATAAGGTAGGGTTACACAGCTTCAAAATTTAAAGATTTCAAAGATCTAAGCTCCATTAATTGAAAGGTTGGCAGACATCTTCAATCACAGAACCAAGAGGTTCTGAAGAAAAGAGAACAAAAGCCTCTGGGCTTAAACAGTGTATGGGAATAAACACTTAAAATGAAAGATCTCCGAGTGGAATACAGCTTATGCATACTGTATTTTGTTGGTATTTTCTAATCAAGTCTCATATAAACCCAACTCATGATCGGTGAAGATGGAAGCATAAGGCTACTAGTCAACAAGTCATATTTTTAAGCATTTATACAGACAGCATATAATTGCATATAACATTTAAGTTCAAGTTGTACTAACCAATAAGGGACCAGTCAAGTTTGGTAGGTTCCACATTCGTCCTGCATCACCACACCTAGTCACAGTCCCTCAGACTTATTTTAAATAAATATTGCTTGATCTTGTTGAAGCATATGCAATGCATGCAACCCTTAACAGTTCTGGTATTTGTAGAGAACAACTGACAGATAAAGAAATCCTAGTTCAAGTTTTAAAGGTTTCTATTCTCTCCCCCTGGCCCCCTCAAAAACTGGACTCAGGATTTCTGGAAAGCCTTGGCAATATCTTTTTAAAGAGGAGCCATAAAACTACTTTCAAGTGATTTCTTCCCACTACTCATGCTCTCCTATTCAAATTAACTTTCTAAAATAAGTTGTCCTTGCCATGATAAAACTTGTTTGATCAAACAAAATTATTTTTAGGCAGACAAAATAATGTTTGGAACACCTACAGTATGTAGCTATATTTTGAAAATAAAAAGCCTGTTAACCCATGAAAGGAGCTACATAGCAATTCTTAAGCATGTTCCATGAGTCATCCTAATATTTAGAAAGGAAGAACTGGTATAAAGGTCAATCGTTAGCTGCTCTAAAATGTAAAATATGCTTCCAAATGTCAGAAGAGTGACAATGCTTTATATAATAAATGCCTTAAATTGATAACTTACTTTATTCCACTGAGGTGCATAATACTTAAGACAATGGTTGCCTTTATAAAGAATAGAATAAAGAAATCCACCATCTCTGCTATAAACCTGTGCGCCAAGGATGGAATAATGAACTCCTGACCTGTAATAAAAATAAACTGAGATTATGCAAACTTTTATTGCAACAAAGTTTACAATTTAAAATTAAACATTCTGTATACTGCAAACCAATTTACAAGAAACACATTAAAAGGGTATTCAATATTTAAGAAACATTTTAAAATCCTTGTTCTGATCTACCAAGCCCATCTCTTTCATTCAAACACCTCCTTAACTTAAAATACTCTTCACAATTCTGATAAGAATTACATTCAAATTAGAAAAGTTAGTTGAACCAACTACACTCATGTTTTAACTGCATTACAGGTCTTTGCTGATGCTCATTCTCCCTTATTGTTTTGAGTCTTATCATATTTCAGTTTTTCATCTGTTAAAAGGTCACTTCTTTGTAACATGCCTAGGACACATCTATGCCTATCCATTTTTTCATTCTATAGTTTACAATTATTTTGGTACAGAATGATTTCCTTCAGCTTTTTTTCTTTAAATCTGGATACTTCGATCAGGGGTAAAGCTTGTTACCCCTTCAGTTTAGAATGGTGGGAATTCAATAAAGAAATATAAAATAACTGTTAAACTGCTTTTAAATAAATTCTGATAGTGTTACTAACAAAAATAAGATTTAAAAAAAATTCTTTTGAACAGTTCCCCAGGAAAAAAAATGCTATAGAGAACAATCTAGAGACTGATACAGCAGTCCCATATTGGATCAGCACCAACATAAGGAATATTGACAGTATCAGCAGTTGGCTTTTTTTGGCTGATGTGGCCAATGTCACCAATAAATGCCCCTGTGCATATGCGCAGCCGCAGCAACATGCAGACAGCAAGGAGCACAGCCCAGCAGCATCCAGCTGGTAAGTCTGCTGTGTGGGGGAAGGGGTGCGTGGGGGCGTGTTCTGCCGGCTCTGTGCGCGGGGCAAGCGGGCTGGGGTTGGGCTCTTCCCAGTGTGGGGCCTGGGCCGGGCTGTGCTCAGGGCAGGCAGCAGCGCAGAGGGGGGCTATGGCAAATTCTGGGGTGGCTGCAGCCCTCACCCCATAGCCCTGCTCTCGGCGCTGCACTGCCTACCCCCAACCCCCTGCTGGGAAAAGCCCAGTGCTGCCCTGGCCCCAGCCCGCCCTTGCCCCCTGCACAGATCCGGGGGCACACGCAACCCCCCCCCCCACCATGCCCTCCTGGGGTGTACAC